TGTGTACTTTTTTTGATAGAAATCTCAACATTTTCTAAAAAAACTGTTCTCCAGGCGATTGTGTGGACTTGTATGACATGTGAATCGATAGATTATTAGTTAATGAGGAGATCAACATGAAATACATGTCCACACAATTGTCGGGAGGATTATGTTTTTAGGGAATGTGTACTTTTTTTGAAAGAAATCTCAACATTTTCTTAAAAAACTAATCTCCCGACAATTGTTTGGCCATGTATGACATGTTAATCTCTTCCTCAACTAATAATCTATAGTTTAACATGTCATACATGTCCACACAATTGCTGGGAGGATTATGTTTTAAGGAAGAGTATAATTTTACTGGTATCTTGTTTGAGCTTGACTTCAATGTTTATGTATGGAAATATTATTGCACACAATCTCTGATTATGGTAAATATCCTATAGAAAGGGACGTATTTGTAACTTAATCGCTATCAGATCAGATATATAGATACAAGATCATAACTACAGGATTGAATTACGTGTTAAAATAATAGTTACACAGAAGTAGTTATAAGTAGTAGGAATGTGTAAAAATAACAAATGCATGCAACCCGTCGCCCGGAATGGTGTCGTCCGCATTTATGAACGGAGGAATAAAAAGAGAAAGTCTGTGAGAGAACCGGCTCATTGTCAGTGTCAATATAATAAACCTCCAGTGCAGCCTTCATATAGCCCGAGTCAGGGATAGGATCCGATTGTTACCGTGTCCGACTTCTCCGAGCAACTATTATCACCCCCGTGGTGGGGGCTGGTGCAATGTTGTATTACTTAGCACTAAATGTGTAAAGTTATTTGCAAATCCTTCACCTTGCCTACAAGGACCAGTTGGGGTCGCTTCGTTCAAATTTAGAAGTTACAAATTTGTATTTGCTCTATAGAAGTCATTTTTAGCCGCTGTGCCAAATTTCAGCTGCAACTAATATCTTTCAAAAACCCGTATGGGTCACCCGGAAGGGTCTCTCTGGAGACACCATGCTCGCTTTTAACCTTATATTCGTTCTTAAAAGGCCCTTGAGTATCAATGTACCGAATTTCATCTTTTTAAGACAACTTCATGCGATAGGGTCCCTATGCATAACAACTTTCCCAATTTCACTTCACATTTTTGCATTAGAGGCCATTGGCAACATCTATGCAAAATTTCGGCTCGATTGGACGGTTTTGAAAAATCGGTATGGGTCACCCGATCGGGTGACTCGGGTTAAAACTTTTTCAAATTTGACTTCATATTCTTTCATGAGGAGCCATTAACAACCTCTGTACCAAATTTCAGCTTTCTGCGACAATTTTGAAATTTTGGTGCATAATACCCCACCCACCTATATGACCGCCACCGGTCAACCACTTGACCGATTTCGCCCATCTTCGAACTTAGCTCCTCATTTGCCCCCTTCTACATGTGTACCAAATTTCAGCTTTCTGCGACAATTTTGAAATTTTATACCTCACCCACCCACATGACCCCCACTGGTCCAAATCTTTTTTGATCGAACCCATGTTCGAACTCGGTCGTTGCATTGCCGAGATACATGTTTCTGCCAAATTTCATCCAAATCGGTCAACTCGTTCTTGAGTAATCGTTAGTCAGACAGACAGACAGACAGACAGACAGACAGACAGACAGACAGACATGATGATTACATAAGCCCTGACTCGGGCTAAAAAGTGGCATTACTCGCTGGCACCATTCGACTCGGTGGATTATACAAATGTCAAACACCCAAGAATATTAAAACCACACATCTTACATATCAAACTTTATTATTTTTTGACCCAATAATACACCATATATATGCATTACATATATAGTTAACTAAATGCCTGAATAATCATAAACCTCATATCGTGTTATAGTGCCAACAAAAGGTACAACAACATTCCCAGCATACCCTACGTACGAACAAATCCTACAGAGTACTTATTAAGGGGTGTTAACCCCTTTATGGGAATGTCTTGTCTGTCCGTCCGTCCGTCCGTATCCACGATAACTTTAGAACGGATGCGAATTTCGAGATGCGGTTTTCGCCAATGTACTTCTAATTTTTAAAGTACGGATGAGTTCGAAGATGGGCGTTGTAGGTCGTAAGGTCACGGCGCCACGGTAGTGACGCCGTGTCAAATATGTGCCGAATTTCTAGACGGATTTTGGGGCGGGGATTTCAAAAGTGGACATCATGTTGGCCTACGATGACCGCGTGACCGTGTAGACGACGCCACGTCGAAAACGTCTAAATTTTTTTTGCTGACTGTTTTAGACGTATTTTTGGGCGGGGACTTCGAAAATCGACATCATTTCGACGTGCCATGACCGTGTGACCATGTAGACGACGCCATGTCGATAAACTGAATTATGTTATGTGGGGTGTCTATCGAAAGGCACAGCAGTGTACGTTCAAAGTACGCGGGAGTTATGTTGAAACGGGGCGAAATAAGACGTGGGGGAATGTGAGACAACTGGGGAAAATGACGGGAAAGTATTGAAAGACGATGTGGGTGTGCCACAAGGACATTTACGTGTGTTTTCACCCCTTTGCTACATTTAGTTTGCAACGGTTTATTTAATTTCAAGTTCCTAATTTTCATTACTTGTGTAACTATGAAACTGGAATCTTAAGCTTAAATTTTGACAAAAAGTGACATGGGCCATAACGTTATGACTCGTCATGCTTCCTGATCCTTTTAATTGTTAACGATGAACAATTAAAAATTACGTGTAATTTTTAATAGTTCATCAGGTGATAAACGCATCGAGCACTATTAACTATTTAGTGATTTTAAATTAGCAACACTGACTTCTTTACTCCACGTCAAAAATAATCCGCTTGGAGCTGAAGATTTTTTTAGAAATATCTATAGTTCAATTAATTAAAGATATGCATTTGAGTAAACACCATTTCTTCTATTCTTATTTTCGAACTAACGCACTATTCAACAAAAAGTGCAAGGAAATATGAAAAAAATTACCATGCTCTACTACTGCGAATTATTGCATATTGCATGTATAATTTTTTGACAAAGTTATAACTACTTATGCCCACTAATATACATATACTGCTACTTGCAATACTTTATAGTAAACCCTAATCAACTCTGATACTCATTTTCGAAAGTTTTTGAGAAATCTAGTACATGACCTTGTTGAAATCATGATCAACAGCATACATAACCCGCAATTGATCCCACACCAGCATTACTCGCACCGCAACATCAGGGGAAAGCTACATAGTCGCACGAAAACACTGGCATATGAATAAATTCTGTGCATCTGTGCGAATACTGGGCTCAAAGATATTTATTTCCTTTACTGCAAACTTGTTGGTTTAGTGGTTATACCTAGCCATTCCGCTTAGTAAAAGATTTATTTGCAACCAGCATATTGCTTATTAAAATTCCATTTGAGAACAAAACGAGTACATACAATGACATAGCCCGAAGGCAATTTTCGAAGTACAATTTTTTTGGATCACTTGTTTTAAAGAGAGCTTCATTGCAAAACAAATTTCATGAATGTCAAACAGTTATCGCACATCATCTTCATCAGACTATGTTAAACTTCCATCTACAATTTTCCCACCAATCCATGTCTCATTGAAAGTAGCATCTTCCAAACAAAAAAGGAGAGTTTATCGACGTTATATATTATTTATACAAACTAACTCACTTGTTGCAAACTTTTCTTGGAGTTGGAATATATCTATGTGTGCCTCTACCCTAGCTAAGCTCATAGATATGTTGTGGCAAAAACGTTGCCAAGAAAACCAATCCATTTTTTCCCAACCCCTAACAAGAAAGTAGACCCTTTTGGTATCAGACAAAGAATTACCCATGGGTCTGATGTGTCCAGAATAAATACCCCTAATTATCTGTAGATGTACATTTAGTAGCGACAAATCAACTTCCAGGTCAAACACACGACTATCAAGGGACTCAAGGAGAATATGATGCCCAAGACTAAAGTTGGAGAAATCTTTTTTTATTGTAACCAAATGTTCAAAAAATATTATTTTCGGAACACACCAAATACAAATAAAACACGTTATGGACAATATTACTGTATGAACTTTGGTGGCGGCCATTACATAGCTTTACAAAATTATTCAATTCACTAATCAAAAGCTAGGCTGTAATGAATAATATGTACAGCAACCGAGCACAGTCGAGTGTTCAATCCAACAAAGTAGCAATGGAAATGATGAAACGAGTGAGCTTTGAAAATAGTCGTGTCTTCTGCTACTCCTCAAATGCGCAGTTCGGTGTATTCTTTCTTTTCAAGACTGGTGTACTTTGCTTGTATCTTAGTAGTAAATGTGCAAGTTCGTAATTATGTTTGTCATTCGACAAAGGAATCTAGTAATAAACGGATTACAATGAGCGAGTCGCTTAGTAGTTTGTTAAGTCATGCCACTTCGATGCGGAACAATATTACCCAGATTGCAAAAGTATCTACGAAGTTGGTTGTAGAACATTATGAAAATACAGTGACAAATTTTGAGACAGAGATAAAGGGTTCCACAACAATATTTGAAACGTACGTGAATTACGTTGAGGAGGAAGTTTAGGGAGTCTTCAAAGCTGTGAATGATTTTTTCAGCGATTTATTCAATTTTGCTGAAATGTCCCTGTAAGTTTAAAAAAAATATATGCATATATAAACTTTACACTATCCGAGTAACATGAAAATTAATTGAATAGTTGAATTATAGTGGGAATAATGCTTGTAACAGTTATCGTATATTCCTTCTCTGGAGCGAAAAAAATTGTGACATGTCTGTCATGCTTTCGAAGACTATTTTCATGTGAATCCGATCAAAGACTCAGCGCTGAACGTTCACCTGCTGTACGCAAAAACAAAAATGGAAACAACCGAACCAATAAGCGATTATACAATTATGCCGAAATATTATGAGACTTTCCCATTTGCAGAATAAGTATATTCGCATGCTTATGGGAAATAAAATTGTGCACATCTAAATCTGAGTTTTACATGTGGTTTACAAGATGTATATTATTGCACGAATTTATGAAGTTGTTGAACTAATACACAATCGAAAAATTAAAGGTGTACCTATTGGATTAAAGTTTTTATTAAATCTCTACCATTGGACTAATCAATTTTAGTAAATCGCAACTGATGCATATCACTTGACCGAATCCCGTCTGTTCCTATCATATCCGCAATGTTATTATACACTGTAGGATTCTTTGCGTAACATTCTTGTATTGACGACAATGCCAGATCTACTTCTCTCAGCAAGGGGACATTAGTTTCAATTTTCACCTTGGCACGTTCTGATGAATAAATCCCAACCTGCAATATCGTCGTCTATTTAAAATCTTGCAGTTTTTAAACATTTTAAATGTGCCATACAGTAATGTCTGAAGGGCTTCTCGCGGTAGGAATCAAGTCCTGAATCCATGACCAAGGTAGGTAGTTCTGTTTTTTATCATAGTTATCAGTTAAGACATTGTTCTCTTTGTGATTTGGCTTAAATTCTTGTATACCAGTAACAATGTTTCAATGTCCTTATTTTTATGCGAAAATATGTCAGATATTTGTGTTAACGTTATGGATGCTTCTAATTCCCAAACCTGTTAGAAATATACATGAGTATCTATATTTAGTTTATTTCAATCCACCAAGTGTTTAATAGTTACTGGCTCAGTTTCAGTGACCACTGCCAGCCCTTCTGGTAAGACATCAAAAGGCTTTCTTGTCGATTTGGACGCGCAACTAATGGAGAGAATTTCTTTTCCCTGTAGCGAAATGTTAAATTTTCGGATTATGGTTTATCCAATGTTAAGACATTTATATGTTTTACCACAAAATCAATTCCAGTTTTACTTGGTAAAACTCCTCTTAAAACGGGATACCAAAAAGAATCCAGTAAATCACACCCAGTTGTCCTAAAAAAATTGTTATTAATACGTAATATCTTTCGGATAATAATTTGTGTCGTATCCAAATTTGACATAATTATTAAGTTTGTTAAAGTCCCGAAAAAAATTGTTATACTAATTAAGTTGAATCTAAAAAAAGTGTGGACTGGGTGCCTGGTCCTGGTGTAATTAGTATTGAAGAACCCAAGAATCGCAGATTCTGTGACCCGCGTCACCAAGTTAAGAACCACCCGGATAAAGATTCTTGAAGGACCGTGATGAATGAAAACAAACAAAAACGAGAATACTAGACATATACAATTCCTTATAAGGGGCCGTTCATAAACTACGTAACGCTTGGAGGTGAGTGGGTGGGTGTGGGGCTTGCGTCACGCATAGTCACGTAGGAGGGAGGGTGGTATGAGACCATCGTCACGTCACATTACAAAAATTAAAAATCCCGAACAAAACTTGTGGTTTCATTTACCGCAGGTTTTCATATACTTAGTTTACTCTTATTAAAATTATATTCTGATTTAAATTTGCTGATTTAAATTAGTTTTGTTATAAGATTTCAAATAAAAAATATTTACTTTACGAGTCACTTCGGAAAGCCATCCAAAAAGCAAGTAGTATCATGAAACTCTAACAATGCTGTCAGGAAGTTGTAAAAATGTGGAATAGCATAAAAAGCCAAGATAATTGAATCTTGAATCTAGGATTTAGCAAGAAAAATTCAAGTTGAGTGAATTACAGAAAATACATTAAAAACCAATGACAAATAAATTTTGGCTGGATAATACATACGTGTACTGTAAAAGCATAGTTAATTACTACTAGATTTTTGATAAATATTGAACTCTGAATTTTCTGTAGAATTTTTTTGCCGCAGCCTTTTAATCAAATTTCCTTTAGTCTTTTCTTTGGTTAGAAATTCCATGAAAAATTGAAAACATAGCTTTATAATGCTAACTTAAGGTAGTCAGAACTTATGGGGAATTTGAGATTTTTCGTGACGTCACGAGGGAGGGGGGGTGGGTGGCTCGATGCGTCACACAAGCGTTACAAGGGAGGGAGGGAGGAGTAAAAATTTGCGATTTTAGCGTTACATAGTTTATGAACGGCCCCTAAATGCTGGTAAAAATAATACTCGGCACGATAATTGCTCCTCTATATTATTGTTAACATATCTGTCGATAAATATATAAAATTTAGCAGGTTAAATAAATTACCGAAAAATAAATTATAAATTGTTCAATTACTTCCTCAAAAACAGATGAAAGCCTGGATCAACTATTTTAGACGCATGAGAAGGTGCCAGAGACAAGTAAGGTATTTTGCAAGTCACCGGATACAAAATGAGCCCGTCTCCGCTGGCTCTAATAGTAGGAAGATGTAGTATTATCGCCTGGAGGAGAATAAATGTTTGACCTGAAATTACATGAGGATAATTTGAATCACATAAAATTGCAATGTATAAGAATAAGTTAACTTCTCAATACAACGAATCCACCTAGTTGCCATATGGTCAAGAAGTACAAATTGGTCGGGGCGTAAGTGTATATGTCCGCATACGCGCAATACGGTATCAAAAGCAAGACAAGGGAAACCAGCACGCAAGTTGCAAGTTCAATACAGGTGTGCGTATTTCTGTTGCGATTTTCATACATCTGTATAATAAATAGGGGAAGCATTTCATTTATACCAGTGTAATTGATATAAGGAATTCTAACCTGGCTCGTGAAAGTGCAAAATGAAACGAAAGGACCCGACAATAATAAGGGAAAGTAAAATAAGTAATTCATACATTCCAAAAAGCAGAATCGTCGGCGTTCGTTATTTAAGTCAACGTTTAAACTAATGCATCTGAGAATACATCCATTCATCACGTTACGGGCCACGGATAGTTGTATAGAAGTTGTTAATCCAGAAATCATCTAGGAATACAATCATAATTATCAATGCATAGTAATCATAAATTATTTAGACATGTAAACTAATACGAGCATGACCATGTAATAATGAGAGCCAAGAAGTAACAATGTAACAAGTAACCATCCATAGCTGTTAAGATGATGCACGTCTACCAATAAATATCATCATTAAAATAACAGATACCAAGCAGGATGACAAACGGTATCCGATTGTGGTAAACGTTAGCAAAACTCCTATGAAATTGCAACCTAAAATAGTTTCCTGAAAAATAAAGTTATAAGTAAAAAACATATTGAGATGTATAATTTAATAAACATGCACCATTTTTTCCAGTTTTGTCAAGAAGATTTTACAAAGAAAATGCGTGACTGATGATATTATAAAATATCCCCAGGTTATTCCTATACTCGATCGCCAAGAACCAAATATTTGATCCTCCTTTAAGCCAATGTACTGTGTAAGTAATCCATCTCTTATTCCTTCAATTTTTGTGTCTGATGAAGATATCTCTACGAAATAAATAAACAATTTGAACTATTTAGGAGGATAAAGCTACCAATATTTTTAAACATTCCGAATACATTGCCTACAGGATACAATTATTTAAATAAATAAACAAAACAACTTACGAATGCATAAAGAAATAAATTCACAAGATGCCTTAAGTAGAATTGTCAGCATTACACACGGTGAAAGTGTCAATAGACTGAGTCCCATCCTTTAGCTTAAGGTTGGGTATATTTTTAATTGTCGATTCTGTACGGATACGTTATAATCTAATTAAAAATACGACGGGCAAAAAGTGAAATGAAATTAAATCATCTTCAAATTTCATTTCACTTCATTTCTTACGTCGCGCCATATCTTAAGGACAGGGTGAAATACGAAAGTAGTTAAAAATCCTTTCATTCCGTTCCGTCTGAAATGAGGGAATGCTTCATTCATTTTCATTCATATGATCAGAGATTCACCCTAATTCACTAACATAATCAGTCAAATGAATGAATGTGAATGAACAGGTATGAATTGACCATAGACCTACATATGTGCAAAATATTTAAATTATACACATAGTATATGCGTACATTTTATATTAATTTATTCAATGTATAAAATATTCAGTAAAAATTTCATATTTACTCCAATTAATTAGCGCTATTATCATAAATTATGATTTATAATTGTAGTTAAAGCTTTTTTTTAACAAATTCGAATCAAATTATTTAATATTCCATAAAGTTTTCTGGCTTTTCTTTAGCCAATTTCTTGTCTACTTTTAGGATCGTTTCCTACACCGAAAGATGTTCTGACTCGTCGAATGTGTCTGAGCAGGGTTGAGTCGCGTGGAATTGCGTGAACCACGTCCGCGGAATATTTCGCTTTCACGGCCGAAATAATTTTACTCGGACCGAGGAGCGGAATTTTTAGTGCTTCGACTTTCAATTCTTCCCTCAGATTTTCCACTTGGACTCTGAAATTTTGCATAAAAATGCAAATATTCAAATTGAGCTGAATTTCATTATTAAATATTCACGCCGTCTTTTGTAACTTTGTAAAATCCGTAAATTTTACGAACATTTCACAATTAAAATAAAGTTAGGTTCTGGGACTGCGTAAGCTTAGTAAAGATTTTAGGCTAGCTTTGTTCAGAAAATTTTGTAAAAATGTGAAAATTTTTGAGATTTTACAAGGTTACAAAGACTTACGTTAGCTTAACCTCAATGGTTTTCATAGTGTATTAAAATTTGGTGTTAAAAGATCAAATTTGTTACAAATTTATGACGCAATTCACGTAGTTCTTGGCAACTTTGTAAAATCGGTGCATTTTGTAAAATGATTTTAGAAAATAAAGAGACGCCCTTGATCTGAGTAAATTTTAAAAAAATATTTAAAAAAAACTATTAAAAAACTGTAAAAAATTTTCCTTTAAAGTATTCATACAATTTTTTTAATGTCTTAAAGCTCGGAAATTTACTAATTTTACAAAGTTGCCAAGTCCTGCGTGAATTTCCAAATTTTTAAATACTCACGCGACTGCGGATCTGGTGCAGGTATGTTCCTGTGAAATGATGGCGTCATTCATCGTGTCGTTAATACTTTTGATCATGCGGCCGGGGCATTTTGTCGTCCTGCATTTCCAATACTCCCGAACGCCCCGTTTCTTGTAGGAGATGTAGGAATAATTCCCGTACTGCAGACACGGCTTGTTCTTCTGGGTGACGCTAACATTAAAAGAAATATCTTCAGACGGGGTGGGATTATAGTCGGGGTCGCGGTCGTCATCATCTCCCGATCTGCGAAGAAATTCAAATTCAGAATTATATGGCACAAATCTTTCACAGAAATATTGTGAATCATTACGTAGTACATAATGCAATTTTGCAAAAAAAAACATACAAGTCTCGCTCTCCGATTTTGAAACTTAATTTGCATCAAATTTCAAATTTGAAATTTGCAAAATACATACATAGATGACCTCCAAATGGGCATGTGTGCCAGATAAATTTGCACATGAAAAGGAGAAAACACATCTTGAACTGTAAACATTTTTCCAATTTTAGTGTGCATTTTTTTCTCTTCGGATGCAAAGATCTCTGCCCATTGGGAGATGGCGTCTTTCGCAAATTTCATACAAATTGAATTTGTCGTCGGTTGACACTAATCTGATAGAAATTGGAGAGCATACATATTTACATATGCAGGGAGACGTCCGTTGTCATTTTATATATATGTGTACCTTATCTAAGATAAGTTATCTTACTCTATCTCATTAGTTGGCGAATTGCTAGTATCATCATTAGCTCCACTGCCTAATGGATCCGTTTCCATGCAGTCCACCGAATCTGGAATTATTTCGGCATCCATGTAAAATAAATCGTCGTCACCCTCTTCCTTAATTTCTACGACGTCGTCGCTCGAAGTTATCGTCGAATCTGTGTAAAAATATTGATGGAAAAACGGACAAATTATTGCAAAATTAATGAGTAATATGCAGAAATTAAAAAAAAAATCACCATTATTCACACAATTCTGCTTAGAAATCCTCTGGTTGTTTCGGTTTCGCAACCCTGCAAAAATTTGCAAATTTCCATCAAATTCTTGTAATTAATTTAACTAAAAGAAAAGGATAAATTTAGCAACCTTTTTTGTCCCGATTTGTCCCCAATTTTGTCCTCGCTCCGTCCAGAAGTTGGTCCAGTTAGGTTTGCAGCGTCACAATTTCCTGTCGTAGGTCGTAAACGTCCCTAATCGTGGTTAAACATGTGGCGCAGGATTCGACATTCGTCGCAAAGTCGGCGTAGACAGATGTGCCGCCGAGTTTTTTCCGCAACTCCGTCGTCATCACGAGCGTTTTGAAGAGTGTCGTCAGCTCGGCGTAGCGACGACGCGGCTGCGCCCTAGAGGCCAGCGCGCCTGACCCGCAGACGAAACAGGGCCCACCATCATCGGTCGCCATTTGATGTTGAAAAGCCTGAAAAAATTAAATCAAAGACTATTTTTTTGCGAATTTTTTGCATTTTTTGCATAATAATTTAATCAACTTTAATGTAGTCTAATTAAATATGTAAACTTTACAAATAAACGACGCAATTACAGCAACGGTATTTTGTAAACATCGTTTGTTTTGTAGATAATTTTGCACAACTTTGTATAAATAAAAAGAGGCCCTTGATTTGAACAAATTTACAAAACTTTGGAACCCAATTTGCCTTAACATTAAAAAAATTGTTCTCATTGCTGTAAATAATATTTACTAAATATCCGTGTTACAAGTTTTCTTAGTAATTAATAACTAAATACGAGAATAATTAATTTGTAATTTAAGACTTAAATTTTAAGTAAAGTTTACCTTCTGATAAAGATGGAGAAATATGCTCTGCAAACCTAAAATATGTTTTTTAAATTAGATGGGGAATGGTTTTTTTTTGGTTTTTGAAACCTCAAAAGTTTTTGAGCACAAAACTTTTTCTATAATTATTTATTAATTTATTTTGCAACTTGCTGATGTTTTTGACTGCTTGGAGGAATATTGGAGACGAGATTCGAGGGCAAAATCCCTCATGAGAAATGTGAGACTCGCTCTGAAATGAAATAAACGTTGAAAGTTTCATGCATTTTTTGCATGTTTCATTTTCATGCAGATTTTTCTAGCACAAATATTAATTATTCAGATGAGAACCGGTGTTTAATATGTTAATTATCAGATTACATTTTAAAACCATAATGTAATCCGTCTTTAATTAGTTGGAAATTTCCACACTTGAATTGAATTTACTTTTTGGTGTTAAATTATATTTGAAAATAATAAACGCACCTGCACATTTAGTAATTTTCCACCTTAAAACATGTGTGCACATTTCATTACAATAATTTTATTTGCAATTTGAAATAAGCATAAATAAATTACATCAAAAATCTACTACCAAAACATTATTTTAAGCTTGAAATTATTTGTTCTTCATTCTTTGTAAGAAACCCTTTTAGCGTTTTTTATTCGTGGCGAGGAAGTTGACTAATTGAGATCTGGTGGGAGGAGTGATCCCTCCGCGTTGGAGGGTGCTGAGAATGGCGGTCGGCTTCTTGGTCCCACTCTCCAAAAGCCTCACAATTTCCTCCTTCAGTTCCGCCGGGATCCCTGAAAAAATTAGTTTGTATAAATTTTATCGCATCTCAAATAATCTGGTAACAAGGTATTATTACCACGCAGTGACAACCTCTCTGCTGCCATGGTCATAAATTTATGACCGATTAGTATAATAAATTTTTGTAAGAAGTCCGGTGTTAAAATTATACCAAGCGGTACACCGTTTCTTAGCCACTAATTTAAACAAATACGCGTCTAAAATTATAACAAATTCAGATATTTTACATACAAATCATATTTTTTAATGTGTGTTAGTAGCTCGGTATTCAAATTTTTATAGTAATTCATCCGTAGTAATTTGTTACTGTTCGATATAATAATTTTAGTACCAAGTGGTAACAACTTTAATACCGAGCAATCAATACCTGCCTAACTATACCAGATTTTTAACAGTGTATTTTTAATCCGCGGTTGGCATTATTACGGCGTGACAACGAAAAAAAAGTTTCTACCGACTGAAATCTATTACCACACACCGAACCAGCGTTTTTTATTCGTGGCGAGGAAGTTGACTAATTGAGATCAATTGGATCACCGAGATTATTCCTGGTAATAATCTCGTTACCGGATGATTTATGTATTTAGCTTTAAATTGCTAACCTCTCCCCTTCCTCGGAACATGGTCATGTTCACTGACTGTTTTCTCCACGTGTAGGAGGACACTGCCCGTGGGGTGCCTAATCCTCCACTTGGAGGAGCAGGACCTCGCCTGCCTGCAAACGTAGATCACGTTCACGGCGTCCTTCGTGTGGTACGTGTTTTTGTAGACGCATTCCTTCCTCTCAGAAATGAACTTTCTCGCTTCCTCCATGCTCTCGAAATTGGCCACGTTTTCCCAGTCCTTGATTTTTCGGGGTATCTTTTCCACCACGTTTTCAGCCCCGGGGGCGTCGTCTTCCTCGTCAGAAGAAGAGGAGGACGCGGCGTCGTCGTCGTCGTCGTCGCCTCCACCAAAATGCAAGGTTTCGCTAGTTTGTGACGTCGTGTTTGTGGAGAGGTCTGGATTTAGGGTGGTGGAGGAGACGCTTTTCCGCAACTTTTTGGTACGCTTTTTCCACAAGGATTTCATAGCGTTGGGGGACGGAACGTAATCCCTGTCGTGTGTGGTCGTCGTCGTCGTCCTCCCCAGATCTACGAAATACAGTGTTAAAATTTCTTGCATTTTTAAGAAGCAAAATTTTGATAAATCTGCATGGCAAATTTATCAAAATTTTGCATGCAAAAAATTATTTCTTCAGTTAGCACGTAATTTATCGCAATTGAAGCAATTCCTTGGGAACATTGTAGATTTTTCGGAATGCAATTTTGCACAATTTTACAAATATACCTACAGAAAAATAGCTTACGATTTTTTGTAAACTTATTAAAAGTTACCAACGTCAGCATTACGAAATTATTTCCAAGATATGGAAACTGCTGCAAATATTTCCTGAATAATTTACATCTTACTTACGTCGTATCATTTCCAATCTCTGCATCTTGCATTATTTCAGATGGCTCCATTTCCATGGAATCGAAAATATCTGGAATTATTTCGCAATCTTGTAACTCTTCTTTAATTTGGAGCTCGACTTCATCCTCCTCCATCAGCATTTTTCTCTTCCGGGGAGAAGAATTCCTCTCGCTAGTTCGCGACCCTGCAAAAATTTGCTAATATGTACAATTTTTGCATTTACTTCAAAAATTTGCGAACTTTTTGCTGACCTGGAATCTGACCCAATTTTGTCCTCGCTCCGTCCAAAAGCTCGTCAAGTTGTGTTTGCAGCGTCACAATTTCCTGTCGTAGGTCGCAAACGTCCTTGATCGTGGCCAAACATGTGGCGCAGGATTCGACATTCGTGCAAAGTCGGCGTAGATGGATGTGCCGCCGAGTTTTTTGCGGAGGTCGGTCGTCATCACGAGCGTTTTGAAGAGCGTTGTCAGCTCGGCGTAGCGACGACGCGGCTGCGCCCTCGAGGCCAGGTCGCCCGACCCGCAGACGAAACAGGGCCCACCATCGCTGACAGAAAGGTCACCATCGAATTTTAGCGTCTCCATTTCCTAGAAAAATGGGAAGGTCAGAATATGTATTTACAATTTTTGCGAATTTTCTCCATATTTTAGTAAAATTTTGCTAAATAAATTTTGGTACATATTTACCAAATTTTACTACGACTTTGCTGCTAATTACAAATTACGGCACGAATTAATTACTGGTTTCCTTCCCACCAAAAACCGACATAAAATAGGAACTAAATATTAAATTTTAATTTAATTGGGTCAGATTTAAATATTTACAAACAACATTTACATTCCTTTAATAACGTTGAAAGAATGCTAATCAGAGAGAAAATTTGCTTCAGTCAGAAATTATTACAGTTGGAAGAGAATTTCCATAATTTGTAATTGTTTGATGTTTTCTTATTTTCTTCGAACCTGCTGACAGAAATATTTTGCGAGTAAGCAAAATCCCGGGTGAGGAACGTTGAGACTTTGTTGAGATTCATTTTCCATGCATTTTTTTTTATCCGCTTTTTCATGCAGTTTTTAATGCATTTTTTTATGCTCTTTTTCAAGTGTTTTCTGGTGCAATTTTACATGCATTTTTTTCATTCGGTTTTTCATGCGATTCTCCATGCATTTTTTTCATGCGGTTTTTCATGCAATTGTCCATGCATTTTTTCGTGCGCTTTCCCATGCAATTTTACATGTATTTTTTTCATCCGCTTTTTCATGCAGTTTTTATGAACTTTTTCGAGCGTTTTTTGGTGCAATTTTCCATGCATTTTTTTCCATGCGCTTTCTAATGCAATTTTCTATGCAATTTTTGCATGCACTTTTTCATGAGATGTCCATGCGATGACTATTTGTGTACAAAAATGCAACATAGGTAAAAGATGTTCTAAACATGTTTGCAATTCTCTAGTAGTATAATTTTTCACTACTAAATATTTATTTCACAATTTGCAGCTTCTCACTTTCCCATCTACCTTGCGAAATGTGCCCACATTCCAGTTAGCTTTTACTCCTAAAACTAAACTCGCTCTTTCAAAAAAGTAAATCCACTCTAAAGAATTCTATATAAAGTAAACTAACTAAAAACCAGGATCACATTTACTTTTCTAAAGGATAAAATTATTTTTAAGAGTGTGGTTCTAAAATTATTCTTCCATGCTTAAACAACCGTCGGCGTAAAGTGCTTTCCATAAACCTGACGGGACATGTTGCAAAAAAAGCATCTGGCAGGAACAAACTTGGCGTGCCCGTGTTTTTTATGTACATGTACTAACTACTATTCCTAAATATTCGTCAATTAATCTGTCAATGAACCAAACTAGCATCTAAAATATTGGCCGACAAGAATTGTTTTTATTCACGAGAACAATTGACGTATATTACCGTAAAATATGTATCATTCATTACGTTCTAGACGCAATTTATGGCTACAAATAATGGCAACAAATTATTCCGGAAATTTCCTATGTTCACGACTGACTAAGGGACGGTCCAAAAATTATGTCACGCAAAAATCGCGATTTTCTAGACCCCCTCCCCCCTTTGACATGTGTCACTTAGGCACGATATCATTGGAGCCTTAGACCCCCCTCCCCGCTCTCGTGTGACATAATTTATGGACCTCCCCTAACGGTGGCGTACTTATCTTGGCGTACTCGTTACACGTAAATGTTTTCTTGTTTCCTTCCATGGATCTGCGATCATGTCGGGAATTAATAAAATCTTTATAGTTCTCGTGTTCTTGGTGTCAGGATCAAGTGGTGACGACAAGTTTATTTTTGACGTGTTCCCGCCACAATTTCGGTGGGGATTTTCCTCTGCAAGTTATCAAGTAAATTAGCGGAAAAACTACAAGATTTTTTATCCCGGGGTTACAGTTCAAGTTGGAACATGATAATAATTTTTGACCCATTTTCAGACGGAAGGCGCATGGCGGGAGGATGGTAACTAATTAAGTATATTAACTTGTTAATCCACACTTTTAGAAGTCAAGCAGGTATTGATTTCGAGGTAAAAAAAGTAGCTCCCGCATGGAAGTTAGGTTGTACAGGTGGGTAGAAATTTTCTACTGAAATGGTAACACTTTACTACCGAAAGCCACTCTTATAGGGAATTATTTCTCAATGTGACTTTGTTAGAGTCATATATACTTAAATATCGCTCGGCATTATTTCAGTACTGGATTTATAAGAGTGCATTACTTAATAAGACTTGATCCTCACTAAAAAAGTATTCTTCGTGCTAGGGAAAGGATTGAACATTTGGGACGAATTCGTTCACCGGACCCCATCCCCGATTGCTGACCGAAGCACGGGAGACAGCCGACTCGTATCACAAGTATCGCGAGGACGTCGCACTCTTAAAATATTTTGGGGTATGTGAAAACACGATGTCTCATTTATTTAAGTTATTTAATTTATTTAACCGAAAACTCGAAAAGGAACCAGTTTGCAGATAACATCTGTATTTAGTTAATAATCTTTTAGGTGGGAGTGTACCGTTTCAGTCTCTCCTGGAGCAGAATCCTACCCACGGGCCGGGTCGATTACATAAATCCGGCAGGAATCAAATACTACAACGATCTGATTGATCTCCTCATCGAAAACAATATCGAACCTAGTGTTCTCAATGGTCCGGTCCACGGACCGGACCGGACCGATAACTCCGGTTCGGTCCGGTCCCGGTCCTGGGCTTAGACCGGACCGAGACCGATAAAAAATTCCGGTCCGGTCTCGGTCCTGACCCTCCAGGACCGGACCGATAAGCTTCGGTCCGGTCGGACCGATAAGGTTAATCAATTAAGGTTGAAGCATTTTCTTTCAGAATTCCGAAACTATGTAACCATGTACATAACTGACCAAGGTACCCAATTCTTACAAGGATTGGATTCTCAAATTGGGGCATTAATGGAATGCTTCACCGATTTCCAAACATGCAAGTGTTTTCCGAACTTTAGACCGTTAACAAAAATATATACATAATTAAAATATCATAAATAAATAATTTAATATATAAAGATGTAATTTATATAAGTATATACGTTTTTAAACTTTGACGTTATTTACCGGCAATCAGATTCCCAAGGTCAAGCCATGACTGCATTTCCATCTTCCTTAAAAATACGTAGTCGTGAATGTTAATCTAAATTTCAGGGTCTGATATTTTTACACATGCGTGTTCTATTTTGCAATGAGTAAGAATATGTGATTCAGAAATTGCGAATAAAATTCGTGACAACGGGTTCTTAAGACCAATCGAAATAAAGTCATTTGTTGAACTTATGGGATGGATAATAGGGCAGTAAGGTCAAAGTATAAATATTAAAATTGTCTCCAATGGTCCAAAGTATCCGAAACAGTTTTAATTTTGCAAATAGGCGAAACATCAAATTCAAAATTAAAATGTATATATGAATTTCAGCATACACATTACACAGCATAAACTTTTAAGAGAAAGATTTTCATAAGGCAGTCTGAGACGGCCACAACAGCGCTTTATTCGTATCACCACACATGTTTGGATTATACCGTACAGTTTTTTGAGCTTGCTTATTAAGATAAAAATAAAAATATTGTGTCAAGGGCGCATAGCAAAAATTTTGCTAATAAATTACCATGAGTGAAAGTGAAACTGAAATCCAGGAGAGCGGGGATGAAATTTCCTCACCAAAAAGTTCGAGGAAAAAGCGCTCCTTGGCTTATCAACATTTCGACTACGAAGAAGAATCGGGAAATTATCATTGCAAGATATGCAGGTGAGCTAAAATATAATTGTAATTCCATTCACGACTGATTTCGAACATATATTTAGATCTAAATATCACAAGAAGTCTGATGGGTCAACCAGCGCCCTAGTGAAACATTTGCGTGCGACGCATCCAAGCTTATTTAACGCAAAAAACGCTACATTGGACGGATTTGTGAAAACTGAAGGTTCCAAACAAGTTGATAAAATCGAGCCCTTCACGGCGGCCGGCTTGCGTAAGCGAATAATGGAAGTCACGGTTCTAGAGAATCTACCATTTCGACTCGCTGAAAAACCTTCCTTTCAAAGTCTAATTAAGTACTGCAATAGTCAGGCAACATTTCCTTGTGCCAACACAATCAAGTCAGATGTTGAGAAACTTTACCTCGAAAAGAAAATTGAACTTAAGGGTGAATTAATGGTACATAACAATAATAAATACATATTTACGAAAGTTGTCTTGCATGCATATTAGTATTGACGTTGATAACTTCAATTGTTTTGATTCTATAGGCGATTGACAGCAAAATCTCCTTTATAATTGATGCTTGGACTTCGGCTAACCAAAAGTCGTACCTAGGAGTGATTGCCCAGTGGATCGACACCAAATGGGACTTACAAATTCGAGTTCTAGACCTTCTAGAATTAGAAGGATCGCATACTGGAGAACGGTTAGCCGTCTCATTTATGGATTTATTGGATGAATACGAAATTTCTTCCAAAATACTTGGTGTAACTGCGGACAACGCTGGCAATATGAACACTTTTGCGGAAGCATTGGAAAGGAAGCTCAAGCGCAGGGTAAATAAAATTTCACAACTTTGACCCATTTCGAACTAATAACTTGTTTATAAAATTTCTTGTGTCTACCATATTGATATCATAACTCAATTTAAATTTTTATGATTTCTTATAAAACACGAAATATTTATTTGAACCAATTACCAAGTTTCGACTTTTTTCACTTAAAATAGCAGCAACTCAGTTTTCAACATTATTATTTTGTACATCAAGCTTAATTAACTTGCTACTGCATATGGGTTTTGGATTTATATTTTTGTATTCACTTCCTCATTTTCCATGTAGATTATGAAATCTGGTCCCCTTGCCTTTTTTACTAAAAGATTTTATTGCATATATGTACAAATCGAAAATGCTTCGATTACAAAGTTCGGTGGTTCAAAAATATATATCTCTACAGGGGAAATCCCAAAATTTGGGGAGAAATTAAAAAACCTTTTACTACCAAATTTTTCACAAAATACCAAACGTCGGACTAATTCTAAAACAACCTAAGTGACTTCGTTTCATAATTCGAAAACAACCTAAGTGACAATAAAAACTATAGCTTTTACTGTCACTTAGGTTGTTTTCGAACATACATAAATACATAAATTACTTATGCAGTTTGCGTATTTCGTCCTCAAAGGATTTAAAAGAATACAAACCTACGTACTTCGCTCTTATGATGTCCAATGAACTTTTTATGTATATAACTTATTTCTACAGGGAATCCAATTCACTCAAGAAAATAACAGGATTCGTTGCCTTCCACATATCGTCAATCTCATTTGTCAAGCAGCTATTGATAAGTTGGAGAAGATTGCCTGCGAGCAAGCCATGGAAGTCGATAGCGACCCTGACTTGGAGGACGCAGACAGGTTCAGCGAGGGGGTCATCACGAAGGTACAATAATAAAGCAGCATATTCGTATAGAATACCTTCGTCATATTAAGATGTTCAGGGATCCCTTTGAATAGTAAAGGTCACAATTATCAGATCAGGGATTAAGATTTTAATTCAAAATCTTTGTTCATATATGTGAAGACAAGAAACTTTGTGCTTGGATGACGTTCCTCTTTTTCAAAAATGCCAGTAAAGTCAAAGTTTACAGTTTTTACCTTGGACGTCATTTTTCTCCCACCGCTAATAAGTTTTTTTTCTGATTTAATTTTACAAACTGGAATCGCGCGCCTCAACATTTTGACGTCATAAACATTTCTCTTTAAGAGAAGTATTTATGAGTAAGAGTTTCCTAATGACAGTTGCCAATTTTTGAATAGTATTTAAAATAAGCGTTATTCAAAAACTTTGTTACAAAAAATTGTTACGCAGCGTTAAAGATTTCGAGTTGTTCAGGATAATTCGGGCTATTTTATAAAAAAAATATCACCCAGGAAATCGTGGTGCATTGCACTTCACCTGTGCAAAAATTTAGAATTAAAATCGTGAGCGGTTTTGAGATGCACATTAAGGTCTCACTAATTACGACTCTACTTGTATATCTATAGTTACGCCACGGAGTAGTAAAAATCAGATCATCGCCACAGCGGCTTGAGGCCTTTCGGCGTCAATGTGAAGTTATGAATATTAAACATCTCGAACTCATTCGTGATATCAAGACGAGGTGGAACAGTACATATGATATGATCACACGTGCGCTGAAAATGAAACAGGTACAAGCCTTTTACATAGCTTTTATATATTTACGTAGTGTACAATCATAATCTGTCCACCCAAAAAAATTCGCACGGCAAGCAATTTATGACACATTTTTGTTCGTGGTATTAATTTTTTCTGAAAATGGGAAAACTCAAAACCCTCACTTTATTACTCACGTACCATACCTTGTCCCCGTCCATACACAAATTAATGGTGTCTGCAATACAATCCGACTTTTGTGCAGTACGAATAATTTTTTTGGGTGGTCGGATAATTATTTATTTATTTATTCGTTAATTTTTCACAGCCCTACTCTGCGACATTACAAAATCACGCTGCGTTGACGAAGTATAGACTATCTGACTTAGATTGGTCTATTATTGAACAAATGCAGAGATTTTTGGAGGTTAGAAATGCAGACTTCCGTCAAAAAGGTTATAAGAACATAACAAATTCAATATTTTCTTTTAGCCGTTTAAGGATGTAACCTTTATTGCTATTGAATATGATAGAGCAACTATCTGGGATCAAAAATATGCAATTTTTTTTAAAATCCGAGCAAAATTGGATTTTTGGGAAAGGTTTGAGTCCGGCTAGTTGAGTGTTTTTTGCCCGTTTGAGGGGGTGTGGCGGGCGCAAATGGGGCCATGGAGTAAAATCCTTCTTCACTTTTCGTACAATCATATGGTACTACAACATATCCAAAAGGCGTCAAAATCTGGTTGTGACAACCTGCGACCTTCTACTCCTTAGTTCCTTTTCGATGCTCAACATCGAACTCAACTTTTGTAAAACTTCAATTTTTTCGATGACGTCCGAAGAATGCAGGAAATTCCAAAAAAATATTAAAAAATTTAAAACAATGAGTTTGATGTTTAATCGCTCGCCTAGTACAGCAACATATGCAAGGAGCATCAAAATCGAGTACTTCCCCATTAACATGTCTGAAAAAACCGCTTTTTAACTCACAAGTAGGAAAAAGAGCGAAAAAATCATCTTGAAGTAGATTTTATTTTTGAGCGGAAGAAAGAGCACTTTTATAAACCGCAGTGCGGTTTAAAAAAGCTAAAAACTCGTGAGCGGGGAGAGCGGTTTTAACACCGTTGGGGGTTCTTATCGACATTGTAATCAAATCGAAAGTTTGTTTTACGCTTTCTTTTAGTGTTTGATCCTCGGCTAAAATTTGAATGGTACGAGGCTTCTAAATTTGGAATAGACGCAATCTCTGGATACAGAAAGTAATAAAACGGAAACTAAAGAAAACACAATTTTTGATGATTACTTGTAGTTGAGAAAATTTTTTGTCACTTAGGCGACTGACTGAAAAATGGGCAACGTCATACAAAAAAGGTGAAGGTACGCGAGACAAGGATCAAACGGCCGATGTGAGAGAGAATATCTTTGAGAAGCAACTCCGCAAAATGAGACGCTTAGAGCCTGTAGATGAGTTTGACAAGTATTGTTCGGAAAAAACAGTTGACTCTTCATTACTTTCATGTGGAGCTTTGGGTTGGTGGAAGGTTTGTATAGCATACAATGTATACCAGTTATATCTGTATGAATCAGAGTTCGACGCTGCCTGGGCACGCCGATAAATTCAATTTCCTACACCACCCACGGCGTCGACCTCTGATATGAATATATGAATTACCAAATGTTTTATGGCTTAATATATTTCATACACTTTTCAGGTTCATGCAGAGGAATTTCCTCAATTATCTGCGATGGCAAAGGACTTTCTCGCTGTTGCTGGAAGTGGAGTTCCGGTAGAGAGTCTATTTTCTAACGGTCCCGATATCTTAAGCCATCGGCGTCTAAATATGAAAGTGGATACTGTTAAACAATGCATTTGTTTGAAAAGCTGGCTGAAATGTGTCGAGGCGCAGTCTCTTGGAACTGTTGTAGCAGAAAAAATGTGTGGCGACCGAATTTAAACTTTTGAACTTAATTTCACTAGTTAATTAAAAGTTGTTACCATTGTTAACTTTTTGAGTAAAACAAATAAATTCAAATTTATGACTCAATTTTGGGGCCGCTAGGAAGATGACATAAAACTTTGCTAATAATTATTACTAGGTTTCATTTGGTTAGGATTAGATAAGCGTTTTAAATCGTTTTTTACGTGTCAAAATTCTAATAGGATTTTGACCACAGAATTAAATAACACCATGATCTTGGGAAGATGGATGGGCGATTCTTCTTAAAATGAGATAGTTGCCCATATTTGTTGTGTGGGTAACGCAAACTAACGCAAGCGATTTAATGCATTTCATGAAGTTACCACAATTAATATGCACACCAATTTTTGACAGCAAAAATTTTACAGCTATTATGTGCTACCACTGATGAGGCATTTCTCTTACGTTTTCCATTTGAGCTTCGTCACACGTTTCTATATATAAATTCAATTTGAATAAGTGGACTATCTGGCTTGGCACTGAGCCTGAATTAATTTCATGAGTGCACTTTGTTGAAAATTTGGGAGATTTTCTTTTTTTGGTGACAAAATTGAAGACTTAGCTCCTTGTTATGGTTGTTTACAATTTGAACACTTTTTGGTATGCATTTCTTATGCAGCAAGGGGGCAAATTATAGAATTTACCGTTGGTCAGTCTCTGTATTTGCTCAATGTGTTGTTCCCAGATCTGACAAAAACGCAAAATAGCTCATTTTGTGATGCTTAAGCTAAAAAAATTCACAAAAAAACCAATTTTCTCTTTTAAAAAATTTACAAATGAAAAATATTGCAGGTTTTTTTGCAAGAAGAACAAATTGTCATTAGCAACATTTTTCTGCAGGCAATAAAACAATTAAACTTTTGATTGTGTCGAAATTTAAGAAAAACGACGAAATGTAAATTAGGAAATTTTAGGAAATTTAAATTAGGAAATGTTAGGAAATTTAAAAAATTTAAGAAATTTTGCAGATATTTTAACATGCTAAAAAGGGAAATGTTTGCATCCATTTTTTTGCATATTCGTGATCACTGATCCGCACGAAATTACACACGTACATATAAGGAGTTGGTCTTTCAAATTAAAATCCCGGCATAATTGGTTTGCGCCCCATTGTGATAACTCATGTATTTTTTGTCGCATGTCGAAACGTGGACGTAATTAAACGACATGTAATAAATATTTTTGATAATATCATTTAAATAAAATTCCGGGCAGCGTGTTTTTGTTCGTTCGATGTTTTTTGTAACCTTTGTAAGTAGATAATTCGACGCGTCTTCTAAATACATACAAAGAACTTCATATTAGATCGAAATTCGGGACAATACCCATAAATCATTAATTTGTACCATTGAATGAGCGTTTTGAGTTTGAATATATTTGTCTCAACTTGGTCTGCAATGTATTGAATTAGAGATTTTGAAACTTGCTCATCCCGTGTGTTTCAAAAAATAAAGATTTTATTGCATGAAAACATCGATAATTTTTAGGTTCACAGAGTTAGGAGGTGATAATTTTGATTTTTCTGACCATGAGAAAATAGGATTAGAATGGATGAAAAAAATGATAGTGAAAATTAAATGTTTCTTCATGGAAGAGAAAAATCAAAATTCTAACCGCCTAATTTTGTGAACATAAAAATTGTCTCTTGTTAGACGCCATTTATAAAATCTTCATTTTTTAACAAATTCACGAGATGAACATGTTTCAAAATCGGCATTTGAATACACCGAAGAAAAGAAGGCTGAGACACACATTTTCAAATTCCAAACCAGCATATTTACAAGGGAGCCTTAACTTTAAAATAAAAAAATAATTCAAATGCCATCAGGATCGTCGATTCTGTCGGTGAAGGTTGTCCTCCTCAGTTTGAACTCTTAAACCACTGGCTTAAAACCCCGTGAGCCTCAGCCCATCTTTCTAAGATTATCATCGTCTTACCGAATGCTTTATATCTCTTTCTTAAACAATTTTTTACACAAAAAACGGTAAAATGTATAGCTAATAATGTGTAGGTAGTAAACGAAGGAAATGAACCGCGACGCAAGTTGTTTTTTATTCTTTTTAAGTTTTTGACTTCTGACCCTGTATATTGAGGTCAGTATTTCCTGGTGTCAAAGATTACATAAAAAATTTAGTTTTCCTAAACTTATTTTCGTTATTACATCCGCCTTACAGCATACAGTACAGTGTATCCCGGAAGCTTAACCCAACTCGAAAATAATACAGACCAAAACACATTTATTGACCTGCTCGGTACCTCTGATTTTGTTAATGATATTAAATCCATAATTACTTATTTTATCTGTCAAGCAGCGAATTAAGTTTTCGTTATTACTTTACAAGACGAAATGTTTCAACCAGTTTCGAATTTCTGAATTTTTTAGGAAATACTCTACTTTTAACATACTTTTTAACTGGTTGGTGTAGATAAAATTTCAGCAGTAGATAATAAAAATATCAAAAACGCCAACTTTTTATCATTGAGTTGTCTACAAGAATTTCTCAAATTCAAATTGGAACAAATTTTTATGCTGCCATAATTTATGCATTTCTCCTCCTCATGTTTTCGCACAGAGAACAAAATTAAGTAAAACAACTTTAACTAAAAAATATAACCATTCGTTCAATTTTTTCTATATTTGTTGTTGCTTTGCCTATGTACATGTTATTTGCACCAATAACTTAACACTTGCATGGTGCGGCTCTATTACAAATAAAAATTATACCGGTCCGACCGGGACCGGACCGATAACACCGGTTCGGTCCCGGTCCGGTCTCGGTCCAGTAAAAAAATATCGGTCCGGTTTCGGTCCAAGCTTATCGGTCTTCGGTCCGGTCCCGGTGCTCTGCTGGACCGGACCGGACCGGACCATTGAGAACACTAATCGAACCCATCATTACCCTCCACCACTGGTAAATTCATAACTTCAACTTACAAAATTTGTTAATAGAATAAATTGAAATTTAATTCTCACAAGTTGAACACTCTGAATAATCCGATAACCAAGTATTACCCGCCAGTGTGGAAGAAATATGACACTACCGCTACGGGAATAAATTTATTATTACCCGGGAAATGAATTTAATGCTGGTAAAAATTCCAAACCGGTAATAACTCCGAAGCCTTCGAACATATTACCAATTTTGCATACTAATGGACCATATAAATTTATAGATTTATTACCATTTCGGTAAATTCATATGTACTGCCGTCCAGCCGGCAACGCTTTGTTACCTGATTCTATAAGAATATTTATACACTTTTTACCTACAGGGACTTTCCCCAGCCGCTCATGGAAATTGGTGGTTGGTCAAACAACGATGTGATCTCGCACTTTGTGAATTTTGCACATCTCGCGTTTCGCACGTTTGGAGATCGGGTATCGAAATGGGTCACGTTCAATGAACCAAATGCGATGTGCTTGTGGGGTTATATACTTGGGGTAAGGTGCGTACATAATTATGCCTTCAGTTTATTTACATAGTCTGCTTTAAGCATGAATTTGACCCGATTTTCTGCAAAACTTTGGTCCGATTTTTTTTTGCAAACTATGTGAAAAGAGTAAAAAAAAAATTGGAAAACTTTACGGTACAGATTCGGCCAGAATTTCAGCACAAAATAGCCCCATCTTTGCACAACTTTTGCTTGATTTCCCACGGAGAAACTTTGTGCTGAAAATTTTATGAAAATCTAGTTGTGCAGAAAATTATGCCGGATAGTCTATGCAGAATTAAGCATAAACTGTTTTTGACTTGTCAGAATTGCAAAATAAAACTCATTGACATTTTCTGCAAAATTATGTTCCCAACAGTTCTGCAGAATATTCAGCTTTTGACGATTCCTGCAAAATTCTGCAGATCGATTTTTACTCGGTTTGCAAAAATATTTGAAAATATTTATGTAATCAGAAAGAAGCTCCGGGACATCGGAATGTTGAAGAAGCCAAACTCTGCGTCCACAACATTTTAAGATCTCACGCAAAGACGTACCGCTTATACGACGCTGTATTTCGTCCCCATCAACGCAGGAAAGTTGGAATGGTCATTTTCTCCCAATGGTATCCCGCCAATCCGGAGCACGTCAAGTTCGCTTTGCAGATTACCGTAAGGTAATCTGCAAAAACCGTTTATGTGTTTATTAAGGAGTGAAGTGAAACGAAGCGAAATCTCTTGATGGGAATGTCTTGTCTGTCCGCCTGTCTGTCCGTCCGTCCGTATGCACGATAACTTTAGACCTGATTCGAATTTCGACATGCGGTTTTCGCCAACGTGTTTCTAATTTTTAAGACGGGCTTTGTAGATCGTAAGGCCACGGCGCCACGGTAATGATGCCGACGGTCAAAGATGTCGAATTTTTTGTTTTGACCGTTTTAAACGTGGTTTTGGGCGGGGATTTCAAAAATCGACATCTTTTCGACGCACGATGACCGTGTCGTTTGAAACGACTCGTTTCACCCATTTGCTACATTTCGTTCGCAACGGTCTATTTACTTTGGAGCTGAGTTATTTCATTAAATACTTTAATAATTTATTAGTGGGGAGGCTTCGCGTCTCCAATCTTTTTCGGAAAATATCCTGACGAATATGCCGAATTTCTGGGACGACTCAGCCACAAACATGGCGTCCTATCTACACCGCTACAATTCACTTTGGCCGAATCTGCAGAACTGCGAGGTACGTACATACTATCCTCGTATTTAGGCGTGTCACCACATTTGCATAAATCTCAACATGCCCATTTTTTGCGAGGCAGGCTTTCCATTTGAATAAACTCTATGTCGAATGCGTCAAAATATGCAAATGAGGTGACCGGCCATCCGTTGAACTTCCTTCGATGAGAATGAGATTTAAGTTGAGATGAAATCATACCTGTTCAAAAAAATTAAGCTCATTCAAAAGTTTCTCCTGATTTCTGAATGAAGATTTTCATTCACATGCAGTCATTTCCTTTCAAATTCAATTCACTTCATTCATAACTTTTAGGCTTTGGGTGACAAGTTAAAGGAGTGAAAGGTTCTTTCATTCGTCCAAACTCAGAAAATCTTTCCTTCATAAGGAAAGATTTTCCTTCAGATGAAATGAAATCCTCATTCACCATCACAACCACTCAAATGAATGAAGTGAACAGGTATGGATGAAATATGAGACGGATATTTCGTCTCCGCCAAAACGAGATGAGATTCGACATTTAAGCCTTGTACTCAGGACAGATTTTAAACTTGAAAAAGTTTTGCAAAAACGGGGAAAAGTAGCTGAACTAACAATTTTAAATTTATTTGAAGAAACACTCCCATGTAGTTAAATTTGTAGTGAAATTCAAGTAATCCCAGTGAAGGACTATTGCACTACAAAGGAAAGAACGTGCATTTCGCGCGAAAAATCCGTCCTGAGTAATAGGCTTAATTTTCATTTCCAGGGACGTGGGATTTCTGTGGTATGACGCATTACACGACAAGTTTGGCTGAACCGACGATGCCAGACGACGCTGGAATAACGGATCCGCTCGGGATTGAACTGACCTCTGACCCGGGATGGCCCAGCGGTGCGAACAGTACAACCGGTTGGAAGTTCTACGTGGTTCCCTGGGGTTTTAGAAAGATGCTGAACTGGATAAAAAAGCGGTATGGAAATCCACCAATTTACGTTTTGGAAAATGGATACCAAGGTCGTCCCGAGGATGGGTTGCAGGGCTACGGCCGTGTGGATTATCATCGCTCTTATATTAACGAGATGTTAAAAGCGGAGCGAATTGATGGCGTTAATGTACAAATGTACACAGCATGGAGTCTGGTCGACTCGTTCGAATGGGTATGCTTAGCTTAGCTTAGAAACTCTTAAAAACAGTTTAGTTCTTTCGAAAAGAAAATACATTTTGCAAGTTTTGTACAAAGCTGTGAATTGGCACATCTTGTAAACAATGATAACATTTCAACAATTAGGAATATCTACCAAGTTTTGCGTTTTTATCAACACGCCCACATTGGACTTGCAAAATTCTTAAAGGTTGCACATACTTAGTTCTCCTTTTAGCCCGAACCAGGGCTTATGTAATCGTCATGTCCGTCCGTCTGTCTGTCTGTCTGTCTGTCTTTCGATAACTCCCGAACGGGTTGACCGATTGACTTGAAACTTTTACCATATGCATATTGGACAAAGTTAGGAACCGAGTTCGAAGATGAGCAAAATCGGTCAAGTGGTTGACCGGTGGGGGTCATATGAGTGGGTGGGGTAATATGCACCAAAATTTCAAAATTGTCGCGGAAAGCTGAAATTTGGTACAGAGCTTGTTAAGGGGTCCTAATGGAAGAATATGAACTGATATCGGCCAAATTTTTATCTGGAGGGACCCTACGGGCTGACCCATACCGATCTTTCGAAATCATTCAATCGAGCTGAAAATTGGCACAGTGGTTGCTAATAGTTCAATATGGAAGAATATAAATATAAATTGGAAAAAATTCATCTGGTGGGACCAGTAGGGGTGACCTCTACCGATTTATAAGGGTTGATTTTTAGAATTTGGTGTCAAGTAATTAAGACGCTAAATGTAAAAATAAAATAGTACTACATAATTTTCTGGGAAACTACTGACAAATATGGGTTTAGTAATCAATCCTGGTTCGGGCTAAGCAAAGCTGTACTGATAGGTTTTTTGTAGGAGGACGGATATTCAGTCAACTTTGGCGCGGTGGCCGTAAACTTTAGTGATCCAGGGAGACCAAGGACGCCGAAACTTTCGGGGGCTTTTCTCAAACAGGTCTATGTGGATAATGGATTTCCCCGCTTATTTCCCCGCAACCACTTATGGAAATTGGTGGTTGGTCAAACAACGATGTGATCTCGCACTTTGTGAATTTCGCACATCTCGCGTTTCGCACGTTCGGGGATCGGGTATCGAAATGGGTCACGTTCAACGAGCCGAATGCAATGTGCTTTTGGGGTTATCTAGTGGGGGTAAGATTAATCAGTTTTCGGCTCAATTTTTTTTTAGTTTTTTTAGTTTAAAAGAATACAGCATTAAAAGAAAAAAAAGTCTTTAAGGTTTTATTGGATGACAATTTGATCTCATTCTACCCCCATTCAATATCGTTACATACAAATTTCTGAAATAGCATCTATTTAACGAATTTTGAAATAAATGCAACTCTTCATACTTTAATGTATTTAAATCTAATTTTTGATACTATAAAAATATCGATTTAAAAATGTGTTAATTCATTTGTAACTTTTTCAAAATTAATAAATAAATCCGAAATAAATTTGCTAAAGTGGAGATTTTTCTAGTACCAAAAATTACCTTAGCATTAAAGTACGAAAAGTTGCGTTTATCTCAAACCTTGTGAAATTTCGCAATTTCAAAAATTAGAGACATTGGATAGGGGTAGAATGGGAATTCAAATCTATGGCGGATTTATTCAGGGCGAAGCTCCGGGTCGTCGGAATGTCGAGGAAGCCAAACTCTGCGTCCACAACGTGTTAAAATCTCACGCAAAGGCGTATCGCTTATACGACGCCATATTTCGCCCCCATCAACGCGGGAAAGTTGGAATGGTCATTTTCACTCAATGGTTTCACCCGAAGGATCCAAAAAATCCGAGTCACGTAAAATTGGCCGAATTCGCCTTGCAGATTTCCGTAAACTGTTTACTTCTTACTAATATCAAAAAATTTGCAATCGGATCATTCATAAAATTTATTAATTGATTAGTGCGGAATCATCGCATCTCCGATTTTCTTTGGACAATATCCCGACGAATATGCCGAATTTCTGGGGCGACTCAGCCAAAAACATGGCGTCGTATCTTCACCGCTACAATTCAGGTTGGCGGAATCTGCAGAACTGCGAGGTACATATGTACATATTTGCACTATTTATGATTTGGTACTGGTAACAACGTCTGAACTCTGAATACTACGTTCTTCATTTTTCACAAAATTATTGAACCGCAATGTTCAATGAACAATAATGTTTAATGTTCAATGTTCAATGATTGAACGGCAGTGTAGCCGTTTACTCTTTGAAATCCGGTTAGAATTCGAAAAGGTACATGGTTTTGAAAAGTCCAAATTTTTGCCAAAATTATGTTACTTTTAAGATAAACAATACTTAAAAATTCCACCACGTGCATTCAATAAACCGCAAAAATATGTGTGCTCCACGCCAAAAAATTTAAAGGTTTTTCTGGGCGATTTCTACAGAAACTTATACAGACAAAGTTCTGCAGAAAAAAAAACGGACGGAAATGTCCTGCAAGATTATGTGACAAAGATTATGCAGAATGCAATATGCATAGAGCTTTTATCGATTACGGCAGAATTCGATACAGGAATTTCTACGGGTGAAGTCTCTGCGCGTGAATCAGTCACGGCAAATAACCATCTCACATTTAATCATTGTCAGGAAATAATTTTAATTTTCAGGAACCTGGGATTTTTGTGGTATTGCCCACTACACGACAAATCTGATTGAACCGACACCAAACCACGAAGCCTCAGATGGATTATCTGATCCTATCGGGATTAAACTTTCCTCTGATCCCAAATGGTCCAGCGGCGCGAACAGTTCGTCCAGTTGGCAATTCTACGTTGTTCCCTGGGGTTTTAGAAAAATGCTCAACTGGATAAAAAGGAGGTATGGAAATCCAGAAACTTACGTTTTGGAAAATGGATTTCAAGGTCATCCAGACGATGGCCTCCAGGATTACGACCGGCTAGAATATTATCGTTCTTACATCAACGAGATGCTAAAAGCGGTGCGAATTGATGGTGTTAATGTCCAAATGTACGCGGCGTGGACGCTACTCGACGATTTCGAATGGGTATGTTGATACAATTTTGAAGGAACTTTTACTGAGGTCCTCTTAAAAATAGTGTTATCCTTTTGAATTAAAAATGCTGTTTCTGAATTCTAAAGAAACCGTAAACTTAAGTAAACCGTAGTAAATCTTAGTACTTTGGACTTTGCGTAATTTACTAAATATAGCATTTAAGAAGCTTTACGTTTAAAAGGGCAGCATTTATTTTAGGCGAACCTGATAATTTACTCAAAAAACTCTTCATGGACTTAACGTTAATCTGGATTTAGTACAGTTTAACTCTACTTTTTCTGAAAACTTTTATTTTCTATCCAAATTCTAAAGATTTGGAGGTTGTCTATAAAAGTTAATATAATAATATTTTTTCGTAAATACATCAGCGAGTTTGATAAATGTGCATCACACAGATTCGGATATTATTGAGCACTTGTAAATAAATTGTGATAAAAAGTTCTTAAACGTGGCCATCCAATTTTTGTTCCAGGACGACGGGTATACAGTCAACTTTGGCGTGGTCTCCGTTAACTTTAGCGACCCGGAGAGACCAAGGATGCCAAAACTTTCGGGGACTTTTCTTAAACATGTTTTTAAAAATAATGGATTTCCTCGGTGAAAATAGTTTTTTTTATGTTGCATACCTTACCACATATTTAGACTTCAAAATATAATTTATGAAAAATAAAAATTTATCAAATATTTTATCAAACATCGTTACGAAAATCATTACCGATTTTCGTTATTAGAAAAAAAGGGCCGGACTTATTTTCAACATCAGTGGTCGTTATTCCATTAACGTTAGGTAATATTTACCAGTATTAAATTAAATTAACTGGGATTGCTTACATACCTGTTGGGATAAAAAATCCAGACTTTATTAAATGTGGATAATCTTATTATCCTGGATGATCTCTCTCCTT